TATCCAACATAGAAATAAGGCTAGCACGCTATATATATATATATATATATATATATATATATATATATACATTAGTCTTTATATACCATAAACATGGTTGCTTATTGATTTTATTGCCATAATGAGTATGTAGAGCTGACTAAAGAAACAGCCTTGGAAACGAAAAACAACAACAAAACACAATCGTACAATTAACATAATATAACAGAAATTTGTGTACTGAACACTGGATAAACTAATTGTCAAATATTCAAATTTTTGCTTTGTAGCGATTCATGTTAGTGTTACAACGTAGATTTTCTCACGAACTGACCTCCTTAGAAAAATGCCTTCTATTTTTTTTTCCTAGTTTTAGACCCGTTATTAATAAGGCATATACATACACAACCTCCGCAGACAGAAACTGGAACCAGGTCCTTCAGGTTACGAAGTGAACGCATCATCATACCGCTGACTGAGTCTCAGCAGAGAACTTTGCATAGAAGTGAAGCAACTTCAATTTGACACACTTTGTGTAGCAATTCCCACAGAGGTGGGCAAAATAGAGAGAAAAGAAATTCAAAAGAAGTATAATGAGCACAAATGTGTGGGAGTAAAAGTAGTAGCATGGAGAAACATAATAGTTTAACGGACAGGGGGATCCCAGAGTGAAAATATCTGCTTCATTGACAACTATTTTTAGTCATGTCACTATTATATCTTAGCATCCTGAGATCCCCAACCAGACAACCTAAGCCTCCCTATGTGGATCAAACCAACTGTCAAAGACTCCATATATGGCGGTGTGATACAGACAATGTGTGTCATGTGGGTTCGAACCCCAGTGGATGCGTACTGTCGAAGAGTCCCAAACTAGGATGAAACAGCTGTCCAGTACCCCCTGGTTTTCAATGGTTCTCTAACTGATATCAATCCGTGATCAACTCGTAAAAACAAAACTAATCGTTACAAACCAACTATAGAAAATTTAAAACATTTGCCGATTGTATAGTGTTGAAGAGTCACAATCTCGGACAAGATGGTAACCAGTGCTGTCTAATTTTCAATGCTTCTCTGACTGACCTATCAGTGTATATGAGTAAATCTATTTTGTAATCCAGTCAAAGTCCTCACAAGACCAACACATTTAAAGATAACATAATTTACTCATTTAAATAGAGACACTGTTGTTACTATTATATAAACCACCCATCAGTAAACACGGTACATAGTGGGGCTCTGCTTTCGCACACACACACACACACACAAAAGTTAAAACACTCCAAACTTCCACTTTTATTCTCAAAGCCATCGTGAGAGTGAGCGTGAGAGAGAAATACCAAGACTGATTCAAATAAGATATGGCATTTATAATGTAGACTGTGGGAAATGAAAGTTAATTACAAAGAAATTTGCTCAGTTTAATTAGAACACACTCACAAACAGACACCAGCCACCTTCAATACCATACCATACAATTTGCTAAAATAGGTCAAGTGAGAGTAGACACATGAAAATAATACACGTTATTGTCACACAAGCGACCGTAACTCACACAACCAATAAACGAATAGAGAGATATACACACATACACTATCAATACATATCAATAAGTAGCATAATTTATTACACACAGCGGAGAAAATAGTTTGATAACCTCAAGCCAAAGACTAGGAAAAACCAGTGGGTTTCTGTAGATTTTCCGAAATCGACTGACACAAGTAGAGTGATAGTGATAGGCATCGACGATGACGAAGAGTTTAAATTATTCATGGACTAGATTATTAGTGTAGGATGACCTGAAATAGCTTCACTGGATTGGTAGAAATACTTTATAACCCCGGTAGATAAGTTAGATAATTATTGCACATACGGATTAACCTGAATAACATATTATGAAAAATGCCTGTGTACATTCATCTGAAAAGCAATTGAGGCTTGACAGAAAGGAACACAAGAAAAGATAGGCTTCAGTTCCATAAAAGGGAACATCGGTCTAAATTTCCATTATTTGAAATCTTCTGGATGCAGATATACTTGCCACCGTTTGAAACATCTCATATTTATTAACGTGAATGTGGTATTCGACTCCACTGGTCGAAAAGTTATATGGAAATGTCTAAAGGTGAATTTAGTGCCAAAGAGTTACATTATGCTTTTCAAAACACTACCTGAACTCGCACAGCCATGTGAATGTTTATGGAGATTTACTGTTCACCAATGTGAGGACCAACTACTGGTATCCGTCAGGGATGACGAGTATTCTATTCTTAGTTAATTTCTGTATATTCGTATTACCTGTTTCCAAGCTAATATTCATATCACTTTCAATAGTGACTCTACGTTAGACGTTCGTATCAAGGAACTGCCTAACCCTTAATTACCCGGATATCCAGTCGGACACCTACTGTGTCACACTGGTTATTATTATAAGTAGAAAACAATATATCGCCGACCATGCACATGGTCCGGGGTTCGATCCCCGGCTGACGCACTCCTTTACCTCGCTAAGCCAGAACTAAAGCTGATGAAGAGGAAAGGTTGGGCATGAGGCTAGCAACCCCGTCCTGTAGAAATAAACACTGCTACAGAAACTTCAAGCCTCTAGCTTGAAGCCCTATGTTCCACTGGGGACGTGAAGGAATAAAAAAAGATTGAATTCTACCATTTGAAGTAGATAAAATGAAGCTTATAAAGAATAAATCAGCGGCGAATTGTTTCCAAAGCAATTTCACGAATTAATCATAATTATATTTCAATAGCTTATATACAATGATGAGCTTTTTTTTCTAATTTGGTAATATTGCATGAAATATTACCAAAATAAGAAACTTATCACTTTGTGTAAACTACTGAAATATAATTACAACTAATTTGATCTGTTCCACAATGCACAGACTTCCCACTGATATGAATTTCACAAACACCATCATAAATTTCCTTTTCCAAAAAGGAATAAGTTTCTTTAGAAAGCATAGCATAAGCAAGATAAATTTGATTTGTGGAGATGTGGCTCCATCGGTTTGAGCATTTCGCCTTCAGCCTGTAGGCCCCAAGTTTGAATCCCTCTTTATCTACCCTACCTAAGCCTGGCCAACAACACTGTAATGTCACTAGACCTCATAGCATAGCACGTGAAAGACCTACTTTAGGTACCTAACTTCAACACAACACAAGGCATAGGCTATTTTGTCGTCAATGACTGACTATAAAGTACAGAAGCGCTGAAATAAAATTTACCCTTCCACAAAAGAAATTATTATTATTATTGCTTCCTTTAATTCCTAGAGGAACATAGGGCTTCAGCCGTGCGTCGCCATTGCATTAGGTTCTCTGCTGGAGTCTTCACCTGGCTCCAAGTTTGTCCACACGTTTTCATCTCCTCTTCACATGACCTCCTCCAAGTCACCCTCGGACGACCAACTCGCCACTTCCCTTTCGGGTTCCACTCGAGAGCCTGTCATGTGATGTCATTTGATGGTTTACTCAGAGTATGGCCAATCCATCTCCGTTTCTTCCTGCCTATTTGTTTCACAATCGGTTCCTGGTTGATTCGCTCACAGAGATCTCTGTTGCTGATCTTTTCTGGCCATCTGATCTTGAGAACTGAGCGAAGACAACTGTTAATGAAGGTCTGTAGTTTGCTTGAGATGCTCTTTATGACGCGCCAAGTCACTGATCCGTATAGTAGCACTGAATTCACATTGGAGTTGAAAATCCGGATCCTATTTTTGACGCTGAGTGCTGTTGACCTCCACACAGACTTGAGAGTAGTGAGAGCTTGCCTTGCTTTCTCGATCCTCACTATGATATCCTCATCAGTTCCATCCGCCTGTAGTTAAAACGATGCTTCCCAGGTAGGTATGTGAAGGAGGTTGTTTCTTTCAGGTTCCTCTCATTTATGCTGATCGTTTTCTGTTGTTGTTGTTCTCATCCAGGAATCTTCATCACCACTGTCTTCTCTATGTTCACCTGAAGACCTATCTCTGATGCTTCTTCTGCCTACTTGTTGCTTTTCACTAGCATATCTTCCAGTTTGTGAGAAATCACACATATATCATCGGCGAAGTCCAGATCCTCCAAGTTTTTTGTGTGAGTCCATTTTATGGCTGTTTCCTCATTGCCCGCTGTTTGTCGCATTATCCAATATACTGCAATCAGGAAAATCATTGGTGATAGTAGACAGCCTTGTCTTACTCCTGTCCTCACTTCGAAGGATTCCGTTAGTTTCCCGTTGTGGATTACTTGGCATGCAGCATTGTCGTACAACTGTTGGATAAGATGTATAATTGTTGGCGGCACCCCGTAGTAGCGAAGTAGTTTCCAAATCACCTCTCGATCAACGCTGTTGAAGGCCTTTCAAAGTTGATGAAGTTGAGCGAGGTAGAGAGCTGACTACCATTCCAAGCTCTGTTCAATGATGATACATAGTGCTGCAATTTGATCGGTGCATGACTTGCTCCTCCTGAATCCAGCCTGTTCCGGTCGAAGTCTTTCATCCAGGCCGTATTTGATTCTCTCCAGAATGATGCGGCTTAGTATTTTGCTTGGGATGGACAGGAGCATAATTCCGCACCAGTTCTTGCATTGACTTGAGTCTCCTTTCTTTGGGAGTTTGAATAAGTATCCTTTCTTCCAATCCGCAGGTACTTTGCCATCTTTCCACGCCCTCTCCACTAGCGGTGTCATCAAGTCCGCTGTTGTCTCTGGGTCAATTTTCAATGCTTCTGATGGGATTCCATCTAGTCCTGCTGCTTTTCCAGCTTGTAGCATCTTGATTGCCTTCAGGATTTCTGCTCTCGTCAGAGTGTTGATGTCCACTGGCAGTTCTGCTTCCGCTCTTGGTATTAATGGGCGCGTTGTAGGTGGTGGTCGATTTAGAAGTGTTCAGCCCACGCATTGTGAATGAGTGAGAAAAAAATTCCAGTCCAAACTCCATGAAAATTAGCCATCTAGGCTTGTAGAAAAATGGAACATGAAACGAATCAATTGAAAGAAATATAGCAAAATATAAAACTTACACAAGTGTAGCATCCGGTTTGATAGCACTAGTTGTATCTGATAGAACTATTGGATTCACTCCTATAGTTTTTGTCCCATGAATATCAGAAGTATGATATAGACTATCTGGATTTGTTATGGGAGTGATTGAATTACTGTCAGCCTGAATAATTTCTAAAAAAAATTAAGAACAAGAATAAAAAAGGTGTGAACGGATGTTTCTCAGTTAAAATCGATCAATGGTGAATATAGAGTAATTAGTGTAGTACATATAACGAGACTCAATTACTTTATGACAACAACTACCTCAACCTTACATGGATCCAAACCTTACCCACTAAAAGGCAGAGTAAACCATTTATATCATTTCGAATGGCAACAGGTCTTCTGATTTTATCAGTTTACCGTATTAATTCAACCGAAACTAGGATGCCATGTACACTCTTCATTTAGAGCATATAGTTGAGTACTTGAAAGAATCTGACTCAAAACTGATCGCAGTAACAATGGTTCATGTAAAGTATTACGTTTCTTTAGTCACATTTTTTTATTTTTTATTTTGTTCCTTCACGTTCCCCAGTGGAACATAGGGCTTCAAGCTAGAGGCTTGAAGTTTCTGTAGCAGTGTTTATTTTTACAGGATGGGGGTGCTAGCCTCATGCCCAACCTTTCCTCTTCAGCAGCTTTAGTTCTGGCTTAGCGAGGTAAAGGAGTGCGTCAGCCGGGGATCGAACCCCGGACCATGTGCATGGTCGGCGAGCGTCCTAGCCGCTATGCCACCGACGCGTTTAGTCACATAAACTTCTAGTATATTTCACGACTTTGTTTGCTTGTATTTTAAACCAGTATATCACCATGTTGTAATATCCACTCCACCTAATTTAGCCTGAACAACTGGGTAATGTCATCCTTCACATAATGAGTGTGACTTATAGCCTGGTAGAAAGAAAATCTGTGCCGAGTGAGATAAAGAAATCAAAAAACTACATCGGCTTTTACTTTATTTGTCGAAATGTGCAAACATCAGCCACAGATTTTACTATTGTTTGAACAAATAGTGGCGCTCTGGTTTGCTGAATCGCTCCTGTTTCCATTATCATCTGATCAAAGGTCACATTTCTTCTCCTACTCCCAGAGTCCGAATTCAAACGCCTAATGTGTACCATAGATGTGCAATTCCAGTCTGACAACACTCTTTATCGCCAAACAGAAGGTGTAGCTATGGGTAGTCCACTTAGCCAGGTTTTAGCAAATAAATTCATGTCCAACCTTGATAAAACAAAGTTGAAGCATGCAATCTACAAAACAACTCCTTATTGTCTATATTTCAATGACACATGTGTAGTGTGCAACAATGAAAGTCATGCTTCCTACTTACTCAGATTATTCAGCGACGCACATACCAATATTGAATTTACTATAAAACATGAAAATGATGCAAAGTTCCATTTCCTCGACATTGCCATGCAACGCCTAGAAGATGGTAGTCTCTAGAAGTCAATTTAACGAAAGACTACATGGAAAGGACAATACCCACATTTTAATAGTTTTTGTCGAAATAGCCTTAACGAGCCCTAGTCAAGACTCTACACAATAGAGTTACGAGATTATGCTCTACAGAGAAATTAAAGGAAGAAATTGTTTTTCAAGAAGATGTTGAAAAGCAACGGTTACCCTCATAAGGTTCATTAACAAGTACGGAAGATATGAAAGCTCAAATGTCAAGCAAATCACAGTGGGAAAAAGCCCATTTACATTCAACTTGATTTGACAGGTGAAAATATTACTGCAATTGTCAACAGAAGACTTAGGAAACCACTAGCCAGGGCCTATCCTGCAGCTAAGCTCGTTGCCGTCTATCAAACAACATGCTCTTTGGTGCAATCAAAAATCGACAGATATCCTTCTCATCTTGACTGCAAATGTATGTACAAATGTACATGTTACACTGGAAAGAACAGAAAGAAAGGCATACACCCGATTTTCTGAACAAGTAACAAAAAGCTTATGTCTAAAGGGAACAAATGGTTTAAACAGTGCCATCACCAGGTATCTCATTGACACGAGTCATGAAGTGGACGTCGCAAGTTCGTTCAAAATTATCAATAGGCAAAAGAGTTCAACTCTCCTTAAGTTCGCCGAAGCAATTTGCATCACACACCTAACACCAAATTTATGCATTCAGAAAGAAGAGGTTATCAGACTTTCCTTGTTCTGCCTGGTTACTGGATATTTTCATCCTCTCTTTCATTTGATTACGTAATGTCGAAAGTTTCCATTGTGTATGATTACTATTATTCGGGATAAAGTGGTTATTATTATAAGTATTATTTATACGAGTTTGACCACGGATTGATATCAGTTAGAGAACCACTGAAAACCAGGGAGTACTGAACAGCTGCTGTTTCATCCTAGTTTGGGAATCATCATCAGTACTTGGGTTGATAACACTTGTTGATAAGAAGAGATGTAGAAAATTTGCAATACTTTGGAAAGCTTCAATAAAGTTCTATTCTATGTTCTTCTAACAAGCTGACCCTACCTTTTGTTATTTCTCTAAGCTATATTTAGTTAACTGCTTTCCATGCCTAATGGCACCCGCAAAACTGACGAAAAATAGACCTGTTACCTTGAAGAAAATGTTGTCTATTTGTTAAACTCATCAGCAATGCCCAAAAAGGCAGTACTATATATGGGTCAGAGACTAGGTGTGTTGCAAAAATCATTTCCAGCAGGCTATTGAAGACTTTTATTAACAGCTGTCTTCGCTCCATACTGAAGATCATCAGATGGATTGAAAGGATTAGCAACAAACGAAACAAGAACCCGCTATCCCCGACAAATACGCCGAAAGAAATGGAGATAGATCGGACCGACACTGAGTGGAGCATTGAGTGACATAGTGTGCCAGGCCTTCGAAAGGAATCCGAATAGGAAACGAAGGGCTGTGTGTGCATTAGAGGATGACATGGAGGTGGTCCTGTGAGAAGGAGATGAGAGCTTATTAGCAATCATGAAATCAGTTTAAAATAACTGCAGAGAATTGGATGAACACAGGATGTTCTGTTGAAGCCCAATGTTCCACTCAGAATCTAACAACAATATCGCTGTGTATATCTTGATCTGTTACTGAAATTTACAACATTTTTTCGTCAACTTCCGCTTTCGTTCAAATTATATCTGTTCATTAATCGTGGTTTGTCAATGCAAGACAAGAAGCACTAATTAGACATTTCTAAAAACACCCCGAGAACACCGTAAACAAACATTGGATCTCTTTGATTGGACACTAGTCAATAACTAGTGTAATGTGTCTAATCCTATCTTTGGTGCAGACTGAAGACTCGATTTCTTTGATATTGACCTTGAAAAGTATTAAATGAACGAGATATAACCCAACCTATCAAATAACAGAAACAGTTCATGTGATACCTATCAGCAATAAGGTTGTAGTCCAATTCACACTAACATGTTATTTATTATTATAAACATTCGAAGGAAGAGAAAAAAAGTAATGACATGCAGTACAACTGTGAAAGTATCAGGCATAAGTTTAAAATATAAATATTTAGCTATCCAAAGTATCACCTGCACCAAGACACTAACGACATAAAGACTAAGGTAATTAGAGGGATTCAGAATGCAAAGTATATAATGCTATATATATATATATATATATATATATATATATACAACGTAGGCTCGGTTAATGTTATTAATGTCAGTAAGATAAACTAACTAAAGAAGCAGTACATACAAAAATTCAGAAATTCATAGTTTCTCAGAATAAAACTGAAGCAATAGTTAAACTTCAATTACACTATGAAGTTGACAATGTTGAAGTAGGTTGAAATCATGTCATGATGGTGTTTGCTTTCGTCACAATAATTATCACCGACTTATAAGAAACTTATGATTAAATTTTCAATTTACAAAATTACACAGTTTGAGGTGCGAATTCACCATGGTTTCCATTGGAAAACTATGATAGATTACAACAGAGAATCTGCTTGATAACACAAATGCCAGTGAGGCCAGCAGGCGAGAATTCAGTCCGGGTATGGCAGTGATGAGCTCAATACCTAACGAGTGAGACGGCTATCTGGTGTTTAAGACACACCAACCCCAATTTGATCGACTGACTTGTCTGCCTTCATCAGAAACTACGCCTAACTTCAATACTGCTTATCATAAGATGACAACTTAACATGGGAGATAAAACACAAGTATCTGTGATCAAAGACATCGAAATAACACAGGTCTAACACTTCCAAAGACCATGTTTCACAGCCATAAAGAGGGATGGCGCCAACTACTGCACAGTACACACGCCCTTTGATTGACAACCAGATATCACAAATGCACCAAAGAAGATAAAAATTGGAGAATACCAAACAAGAATTTTGTATCCCTGCTGAGATTTCGTTGGCAATTAATCCATTTGGGTTGATGCAACTTTCCAAATAAGTGAGACGTTCAACATTCTCAACCACTTTAATCCCTGTTATTAACGAGGAGTCGGTGCAAAACAGTCCTGCAGCATCATCTTACATTTGACAGGGAAGAATCAAACGCCAAACTTCCTAAGACTTCTCTTCAAGATGTTCAGAAGGCCCTGTATTCTGTCAACATCTTCATCTAGAAAGACAATATCATCCGCTTACTTTAAGTCGACCAGATTGTCCCCTGGTAGCAAGTCAATCCCTAGATCTTCGAAGTCTATTAGGATAATTGCTATTAGTATATCTATGGTGAAATTAAACAAAAATGAAGATAGTAAGCGTCTGTGAGGTATACTGTCTTCTGTTGTCATCACTCGGTACTCCCTTCAAAATTAGACATTGCTTTGCGTGACATAAGCAATATGGTGCACAAAACACACTTGTATTATTTAGCCTAAAATATCCTCGACAATCAAAACAAACAAACACACACACAAACATACTGACAATATGAATATAAATCCAAGAACAATAATTCAGAAGTGGTCTACCCACATAAATGCGTTATAAAACTTAGTAAAATTATAGGCACAGAAATTTTAAAACATCATTTCGTAAGACAAAGAGCATAACAACATTTACTAGCACTGTTTAAAGGAATACAAAAAGCGGATGCGTAAATGGAACTTCTGCCATTGATTCTCAATCATGTCACCCAACTAGTTTAGGTGAATTCTAATAGGATATTCTGCATAGGACGAATAACAAGTTACAGCTTCCAAAAACATCACTATACCGTGTCTTGGTCCGAATATATTCTTATCATGTAAATAATTGTGTCACTAGATTTTGCCGCACAACCTCTTAAAAAACGTGAAGTTAGACGATCAAGACAACAACTGCCTTGTTTAAGATTTTTTGAGCACTAAACAGGTGAATGTTATACTATCATTTCATAGGCATAGTACTACTATATGACACATATGGCTGTTGAATGACTTTAATGACAAATTCGGGAAGTTTAGAACACCGTATTTTACCCACCCACCCCCACCATGAATTTGACTTTCGAGTGGAACATATGGCTTCAAACTTGAATTCTGAAGTCTCGATAGCGGTGGTATTTCTTCCACAGAGTGAGGTTGCTAGCCTAACATCTAGGCTTCTCTTTTATAAATAAATGCAAAAGCACAAAATGAACACATTTATGAATACCTGATTGTGGTGATAATGACAGTCGACTGAATTCTTTCCTTCGAAATAATGGTTCACTGGCTGATGTAATTGATGATTTTGAACGTACAGGTGTGACTGTTGAAGATGAAGCTGCACTGCTGGTGGTGAGAATAACTGTTTCAACCGGAGTAACAACTTGTTTTGGCACTTCATATGGATCTTCTACTTTCTTGGAGAGCTTTTGTAGATGAGATTTCTTCGGTGGTAAAGGCGGAGGAGGAGGAAAAGAGGAAGACTGTGCAAGTGAATTTCTTCTATCACAATTATAGGACGACCCATCTGGTGAATCGACAGTGAACTCATTAATTGACTGATCAGAATTTCGAGAGTCTCGGTTGATAATAGAAGTCTCAGGACTATGAATAACTGTTTTACTTGGATCAATACAAACAGGTGATGATGGGCTAAAGAAAAATGCAATAAATAGTATGCAAATTACGGTGGACGTATTGTTAATATTATATATATGGGCGAAAAAGGAAATTTTGAGTTGCCATAGTTATGATTTCTGATTACAATTATGTTAAGAAGATTCAAGTTCCACACACACTCCATATCAATGGTGAGTAATTTCGAGGAAGCAGTTTGCATTATTGAGATCAGAAAGGCATCAGAAATATCTCGAACTGTAACCCAAAAAGTCTAGGATATGCTTAATCTTTTGGATATCTCCAACCTACAAGGCCACTTTGTCCACACACACTCTTAGCCTAATAAGGAAAGTCGTAAAGGAATGTCTGAGTTTTCAACGTAGAATTAAGCGCACAAGCACAGTAGTTCAACTTGTCACATCTCATATAGCGCACAAAGACAGAGAAAAAAAATTTATAAGGACTATAATCAGCAAACATAGTGATACACACATTAACCGGGCATTAGATATCAGGAGAACCGAGCACACCTATTCCTACCTCTTGCGAGACTAGACAGTATCATTCTGTGGCAAAACCATTCGAGAGCCCTTTCCTTCGGTGGTGCAGGAACAGAACGCTCGCCAACCACGCACGTGACCCAGGATTCAATCCTCGTTCGACGCACTCTAAACCTCGCTAAGACGGTAGTAATGCCGGTAAAAAGGGAAGGTTCAACGAGAAGCTAGCAATCCCACCCCGTAAAAAAAACCACTGCTACTAAAACTTCAGAGCTCTAGCTTGAAGCCCTATGTCTCACTCCGAAACTAAAAGCAATAAAATAAATTATAAACAAACCTGCACGGGAGAATCATAACATGGAAAAACATGAGGACTTAATATATCTGCGAATTTGCAGAGTGAATGCATATGCACCCTTGAGAACTATCTTGAGGCATACCACCAACAGTCTCAAGCCATTGGATGTTAGCCTCTCAATGATCACAACCAGGCAGTTTACACCTCCGTGTGCAGCTTAGACCAACAGTGAAAGACTTCATAGGTCGGTACCATGCTTTACTCCAACCACTCCTAACTCTTTCCCAATCTAGTCCTACACATCAAAAATACAGGGGAATTCAAATTTTGAGAATTCCCATTTACACATTTAGAAAACAGAAAATGAGCGGACATATATTCCATTTCAATTATTTTCTCATCATCGGCTCTAAACTAATACATAGTTTTCACACCACAACTATACCAATCATGCGGTTATAATAGTCAATAGGAATTATCGACTTTAGGTATTTGGGATGAAAAGACAAGATTAAAAATCATCAAAACAACTAACTGACTAGTAAATGTCGGTAACAAGATATCCAAGTTTTCAAGGAAGTAAGTGAAAATAATTACGGAATTCAAGATCAGTCAATTCGAGGTGGGCAGCAACGAGTTATTTTATAATCAGGGAATTTATAAAATAATGATAACTAAGGAGAATAGAGTGGCTAAGTAGAATTACGTGAGAACACCAAGATGCAAACTAGTTAATTAAATTAGCTAGTAAAATAACAAAGTCAGAAAATAGTTACAGGGAAAGGGGGAAATGGTTTGTAAAACTTCATACATATTATGCAGTCGGTCATGACAAGGAAGGAGCTGCACAAATTTCTTTCAAACGCAGATTTGGCTTATTCAGATGAATTCTGATTGCCTCCGCTGGATGTAGAATTCGTACCCGCAGATCATGCGAGAGGTTGCGTGATATACGATAAATAACTCTAAAGGCTTTGTTAGAGTCAACCTGATGTCCAGTATCGACGAGATGAGTTAATATTGAGCTGCATATAGCTTTATTCGAGCCTTTCTTAAACCAAGACGGGAGGTGTTCAGAAATTCGACGATGAATTCACCTGATTGTAACGCCAAATGTTACTAGCTCTACAGGAGCGGTTAAACTGGTAAATACACATGGAAGAGGCGAAACTGGACAGTGTATCTTTATTTTGTGAACTGATTATAGGTTAGCTGGTGAATGAACAACCTAAATTGTCTACGTTGAAAGTCATTTTGAACACCCTTCTCAGATGCTGCGATAAAATCTCACCAATAACATCTCCCGTGAATTGCAATTTTATACATGTAAACAACACTTTCACACTTATGGGGGCTTTTTGTGATAACAGTTTGATAAAATCTTATCCCAAAATCTCCCCTAAATTGAAGTCTTAGGAACACTAATTTTTTCGGAATTGTGGGCAACCCTAGGGGCTGTTTACTTGCTAAATCCATGTGTTTATTGAAAAGATTTGTCGGATACCCGTCCCCACTTTATGTATCAAAAATAACTCCTCTAATATGCACTTTGCTTCACTTTCTCTCCTGAATCTATAAATTTATCATTAACATAACAATAAGAGAAATCAATAACACCTTTAGGTGTTCACGAACAATTTATCATCATATTAAACCTATCTTGGTAAATTTTTTATTTACAGGAAGACTGATGTGCTATTGTCACCCACTTTATTCTGGTTTATTGATCTGCATTGTTATTTTCACCTTCACAGCATAGCCATTTAACTTGACCTATGTCGATTCACTCACGCCTAAAAGATTTATGATTTTTTCATATAAATTCCTACGGCAATCACAAGAGAGATCAGATTATTCGAAATGTGTTGCATAAAAATACACAGTACACGATGTACATAAATTACGCCTGCTTATTGTTCTGCCAAAATTCATAAACGGAACTAATTGTTTCAGATTATATATTCTTATTTGAACACAAAGGATACCAAATCTAATTCTGCCAGATGGTGTGACATTGGTATCCATCTGACTAGAAGACAGACTAGTCAGATGACCAACAGACGTATAATCCTATAGAGCTCTTCACTAATGCGCATCACTGTATAAACTTGTGTTAAGTCATCTGCATTAGTACTTTAATATCAGTTAGAGTTTGAGAAACTATAGTGAAATCCTTCGACGCCTTTGTTAAAAATAGACGGGAATACATATATATATATACTTTTTATTTTTGTACGTTCCCAGTGGAACATAGGGCTTCAAGCTTGAGGCTTGAAGTTTCAGTAGCAGTGGTGTTTATTTTTACGGGATGGGGTTGCTAGCCTCATGCCCAACCTTCCCTCGTTACCAGTCTTATTACTGGCTTAGCGAGGTAAAGGAGTGTGTCGGCTGGGGACCGAACCCCAAACCACATGCGTGGTTGGCGAGCATTTTATCACGGTGCCACCGACGCATATGTATATATATATATATATTATATATATGTATATATATATATATATATATGTTACATATGAACACGTGGATATTCTTTAAAATGCATAAAAATTTTCCATACTTTTATATACGCATAAATGGCCAAAAATTATTTTGAAGAGGATCTCACATAGATACAGGATATGTACATGTATACGTATGCATATATGCTATAGATGTATATCAATCGGAAAAAACTACAGTGAGCATTACAGCAGGTAAACACAAAAGTACAGATTGAAAATGTACACACTTAAGTGAAGTGCTAAAAGAGAGTAAAAATCATTTTTACATGACTATCGATAAGAAAAATACAGAAAACAACAGAACAGAGTAACTTCGCACTCAAAAAGTCTATTGGATTCATGATTAAACTTGTTCATCAGTTACTTTTTTGCTCAGTTGAATATTACAAAAAAATCTAAATAGAATAAAACAACATAAATGAGCTTTGAGCTAGGTGGAAAAAGTATTAATGGTCAGTTTTTTTCTTACTTATTGTCATCAAATGCACAAACGATAAGTGCAAAGACATATCCATAAAACATTGAGAACATTTTTAAGAGTGTGCACCACTGTGATACGAAAAATTATAGACACTGAAATCTCATTGAATACTCGTGTCGATTAAGTATTAGCAGTATGATATCATATGTGACTAGTATGTCGTTGATGCAGCGACTCAATGACAATAATTCAGTGCACTTCAACACATAGTTCTTGGGTAAGAGCGGGAGACACCATAAATACATGCAGTGCCTTAGATTGTCCAAACTTTGGTTTTCTTCTGCTCAATTATACTCCAGTCATCTTCGCTTCCCTTCGCATCCCCGAAACATGTTTAACATACAATACCACTTCAAAATCACACATGCTGCAAAAATCCCTATTTCGACCCATAAATTAGTACAACACTAGAAATATGTAGGAGGCCATGGACGGCTGAAGTTTATTAGTACCAGTTAGCCGCTAAAAACCATCGCAGATATGATGACTGTCAATAGCCTAAAACTTGCTACTTGAAAATTGGGCGACTACATGGATGAGGCACAGTCTGACGTCCAAAACAGCTAGCATAAATGACCGAAACAGGAAATATTTCAAGTAATAAGCAAGCCTTACACATAAAAGGCATATCCCTAATATTATTTACTGAAAATAAACGAGTGAATACCCACATCACCACCCGCCACAAACACAACACTAGCAATAAATTATAGTATTCCATTACAAGTTTGTTTATTAGACTACCTCATAGATAAGTTTGAGAGTTGATAATGCTAAGGTGCAATTTAAGATAAGTAAAATGAGTAGAGCGTAGTAGTTGTTATACGAAGAAATCCGTTGTAAATCACGTGAAGGATATTTAGAATTAACTTCTGATGCAAAGGTACAAGCCCAGTACAACCTATTTACGTCTGATACACAATTCATTCCCTTACATGCTTTTTTTGACAAGATCAAAATTATTACAATTTGTTAGAATAAAAAGCCGTGATGAGAGCTGTCTGCTAACCAAAATTAGTAGACAGCAATTCACGTCAATGTTTACGTCCCATATCTTGATCATGAGAAAAAACAAGATCAAAGAACTAACTCAACAAACAATCACAACAGACTTTGCGTGGGCAGATACGATTCGCAGATATATGGTCTGACCATCAAAGAAACTACCACAAAGAGATGGCAGATTAACTCTCAGCGAGAAAACAACCAATCAGAAGACGCTGTTTCTCTTAATAATTACGCATAATAATGTA